ATATTGTCTGAAGTCTGGGAGCAATTCTTTGATTTGTTAAATCGGCATGACCTGTAAATGTACATATTTCTTTTACACTCCTCCATTTAAAGCATATTCACCCTTCCGATTGTCTTCTGCTTTTCCAATCTCATCTCATCCTTTCCTTCATTTACCACCGTTCCTCTTCCCCCATCTGTTTCTTCTTCTTCCTTTGCTCATGTCTGTCTACTCCTTTCCGGATTCATTCTCATTACTCTTGTCATTATTCTTCTTCCTCTCTTCTTATTCGTCTCCTTCTTCTTCATCTTCTTCTTCCACTTCTTCTTCTACTTCTTCTTCATCTTCTTCTTCTTCTTCTTCTTCTTCTTCTTCATCTTCTTCTTCCATTTCTTCTTCTACTTCTTCTTCTTCTTCTTCTTCTTCTTCTTCTTCTTCTTCTTCTTCTTCTTCTTCTTCTCCTTCTCCTTCTTCTTCTCCTTCTTCTCCATATTCGTCTTTGTCTTCTTCTTCTTCTTCTTCTTCTTCTTCTTCTTCTTCTTCTTCTTCTTCTTCTTCTTCTTCTTCTTCTTCTTCTTCTTCTTCTTCTTCGCCCTTACCTTTAATGATCATATCCCTAATTTTGTGTTTACACTTGCAACGATAAATACCGACTAATATCTGTTATATACTTTTATCTTATATGGACATATTCGATGAAATGTCTTGCAAATCAAATTTTAACCAACTCGTTATTTCGTAAGAATAAAGAATACTAGATATATCTTCGAATATTTTTTTTTTTTTTTTTTTTGGGGGGGGGGGGTTCTCCATTTCCTGTTTATTAATTTTCTGCTCTCCACATTTTAGACTAAACCTGCATCTTCTTCCACTACATTCACCTTTCCTCTAAAACAAATTATTTAATGTACATTGCAAACATTTTCAAAGTAGCACCGCCCATGGAATGAACTTTGGCATACCACAAGTCACGTGATGGATGGGCGTGGCATCTTCTCCTCAATGTGACGTCAAAAACATATGAAGGTGACCGCTGAACCATTCCTCAACACACGACTTCGAGAGGTTTTTACGGAACGCGTTTTTATTGGTTTCATTTTCATTCCGTTCCATATTTCAAAATTACACAGTTCATTTCTTCATGACTATTCGTTTTTATATGAATATATACATATATAAAATATTAAAACAGCAGTAACATGAGCAACAATAAAATGCTAGGAAAGGAATCATAATTTTATGAATATAATTGAGACATCGATGTACAATGTAGTTGAGGTGATGGGAATAACTTGTCCTTCAAATAAAGATATAAAGATCTGTAAACGTTTTATCCCCCGCCCCCCCCCCCCCCCTCCTCTGGGTATATTTTGAATATGCACATTGGGCTTCAAATTCGGTAGGATAGGAAAACAAAAGTGGAAATTAAATACAATGGGCTTGACATTGGACGAACGATAAAGAGAAACTGGGCGGGGAGAAGGCCTATGGAGAGAGAGAGAGAGAGAGAGAGAGAGAGAGAGAGAGAGAGAGAGAGAGAGAGAGAGAGAGAGAGAGAGAGAGAGAGAGAGAGAGAGAGAGAGAGAGAGAGAGAGACGGAGAGAGCGAGAGAGAGAGAGAGAGAGAGAGAAAGGGAGAGATGAGCAAGTAACGAGGGTAATACATAAAAACGGGAATAGTGCAAAAATTGTCATAGATCTAACTAAATTATAATTTTACTATAAGGCGGTAAAGGTTTCCAAAACTGCAATAATTTTAGAGCATCGACACCTTTTTGTGACGCATAATCTTTATTAAACATGTATATTTATGGTTACTTATTTTTCCGAGACCCGTAAAAATGGAAGTAAACTTGATTTGTGAACTTTGTTCCCGGCTTGCTGGAAGTCTTGCCGGGTGTTTTGACAACGGAAGTGTATCTCAGGACTCGGCACATGTTGACACGTCTAAGTTTGGACAACGTTATAAGAGTACTTTATATGAAATAAATGACGTTAATAAAATTTCGTTCAAAGGTATTTTGACCAGGGCGATATACGAAGCCACTGTGCCAACTTAGTCACATTAGTCGTATGAGGCAAAGGGGTTGGTGGTGGTGGGGGGGGGGGGGGGCTTGGTTCTGCAGCCCTCAAGATTTTGGAAGGCCCCAATTGAATTCGGGAAACATAACTAACTACATGTAGGTAGGAAGTGACAGTGGAGTCTTGCAATTCATTAAACAGATGGAGGAGGAGGAGGAAATGAAATTATTTTGTTTGTTGGTTATTTTGAAACTTTGCAGAAATCTTTACAGTAATGGATCATCCATGGAACTAAAGTGATAATATTTATCAAAATCAAAATAATACAATTAGCCTGAAATGCGCCATTTCACGAGGAAGAGATTCTATAACAACATTTTAGAACCGAGTAAGGACAATTTGGTGACTGATTACAAAAAAAAAGCTAAACCAAGACGTGGTTTATACCAAACCTCTTTAATACGAGCATTTGAATGTTTATTGCATGATTATTTATTTCAACGAACACAAATTGATGTTCTGGTGGCTTCCTTGAACTACCCTCTTAACTTTCATGACCTCTACGATGTCAGGATGTTTAATCATGATAAATAATTTCATATCTGTCTATAATTACGTAGTGCAATAACCGCAAACTTCTTGTTTGTATTATTATGACAACTGCGGCCGACATCGCGAATTTCTTGAAATATCATTGAAGAAAGCCGGTGATTTTTGTTTGCAGTCTCACTATCCGTCGTTCGTTTATCACTGACCAAATTTATATTTGATTAAACATATGCATTGTCATCAGGGTTCAGAAGGTGGATTTTGTTGAAGAATGTATTCGAGGAAAAGAAAAGGAAAGACGAACGTAAATGGGAGCTCAAGTGAGGGAAAGAGAGAGCGAGAGAGAGAGAGAGAGAGAGAGAGAGAGAGAGAGAGAGAGAGAGAGAGAGAGAGAAGAGAGACGGAGAGGAGAAGGGGGAGGGAGACGTGGTGAGGAAGGGAAAGCATGCCATAGCAAGGGATAGGCCTATGTGTCAAAACATAGTCCACACTTAGCTGTAAATATTTTGTAAAATGTACCATTTTCTTCAAGCGCCATCGACAGACGACATTTTATAAAAACCAAGGAAGAGACGAGTAGGTCCATGGTACAAAGTAGGTCCATGGTACAACCTACCAGACATAAATCATGAAAACACCAATGAATTACCAGCTGACAACACATACATGAGCAATTAACAAACAAAACACGAGCAGACAGATGCCAATCAACGACTTACATCTCCAGATCAAATACAAAAGCGGAAATGTCCAATGTAAAGAAGAAAAGATAAATTTATTTTGTCAAGACATTAAAATACATGTGACACCCTGATACGGAGGGAGAGGAGCGTGTTGGTCAAGTCTTTTTCCTTTTTTTTTTGTCTTTCGGTTCAGGCAATCATATCACCGATAATCTAAAACTTAAAGGTATATAATTATGCCTGTGACTCAACTAATAACAAAGGTCATGACTTTATTTATTTTAAACAATCAAGTGGTAAAACACGAATTTATTAAAAAGTTTACATATTTTGTGAATTCTGCTAAGGAAACAAGAACTGGGAATGTATGAAAGGAGTGCAGGAGTAACATTTTTTCCTTCCGATTGTCAATTAAAAAAACTTATCTTTCTGCGTAGCATCATTTTTTTTTGAGGGGGGGGGGGGTAAACTATCTGCAATCCAACGATTACAAGACGACCACGCCCCCCCCCCCCCCCCCACGAAACAAAGAGAGAGAGAGAGAGAGAGAGAGAGAGAGAGAGATTAAAATGGCGTTTTGCAAACCAGGGGTTTAATAGTTCATAGGCATGCACAATTATTTACATCTTATATCTTATTTTGAGTGGGGGGGGGGGGGGGGGGGGGGAGTGCCATCACGTTTTATGGCTCAACGAAAGGGATTATGGACTTTGAAAACATAAGGGAACAAAAAACAAACTGAATGACAGCATTGGGTACCTCCGCAAATTATAGGAAAATTATTTTCTGACAGGGGCGCAATTCTTGGAACTGTTTCAGGTATTTTGTGGTACTTTTTCGAGTCACATGTGTAGGTTTATTACAAAAAATATTGTCTAATTATGTGAACAACAATCATGCCTTGTAAGTATCATGGACCTAAGATAAAATCCATACTTGTACGGAAATGGTAGGAGATGGATTTTTCAGAGGAGCGATTCGACCTTTAATGCTGTTGAAGCACTGAAACTCGTGCGGGGGCTTCCATAAAGTCCTTTTATACAATTTGTTTGCCGAAAAGATTTACAACTCGATTATGCGCAATTAGACATACAGCCTTTCTCAATATGTTGTTCTAACCCCTTGTAAAATAGCAATTATGTCTGGTTCTCGATATCACGAGCAGGAGAGATGGCCCTAACATTTTAAAGGTAAAACATGTATATACAAGATGTTGGAATCCCACATCAATGTGTTTATGTTTCTCCGTTACTACGTAGCAACTATACTCAAGTGTATTGATGACATCACGTTTAGTTCATTCACAAAAATTAGCCCAAATAAAATATTTTTCTTGCAGAAACCGCTGTGTGCTGATTGGCTGAAATCACTGCGCACGCGCAAAGGACTTGTACACACTACAGCACCAGCGAGTGTCGAGTGCATACCTCGATGTTCAGCGGAATATGAAATTGTATGACCGCCCACGTCCAGGCGAGAATACAGGTAGTCAGCCGTGCTGAACTCGCCTAGCTCAACTCATTCTAGCTAGCTACTGGGAACTATTGACAAGTATCACAAACCGTCTGCGGTCTTTCATCCACACAGACGGGGTTAAATACCACGCCATGCTTACTTCGCCTCATGTCATCTAACAGGTGTAAATGGTCGAAAACTCACATTGTTGGACACAACCAGGTTTAGAACCAGGTCGCGATTTTACATGGATATTTCTTCTCCTCGACATTGCTTTGGATTTGATAATACATTAGTTGACGACGCTTAATTTCTTCATGCACCCACAGCAGAGCAGCAGTAGTAGCATGGCCGAGACTGGCGGCATCTTACCAGACTTGTCGCTGTTCGGGAACGATGGTCTTCTCAACGAACTGGAGAAGTCTTCGACCTGCAGCGATTCGGACTTCGTGCTTCCAGCCAGTCCCTTCCTGGAGAACGGCTGGCAGGATCAAGAGGTATGCGATGCTTGCTCAATGTATCATGTGGTTTTGTTGTGTTTGCAAAGAGGTAAAGCCAAGTTTCGGTATGGTGTTCTTAATTTTGTTTTGCGGGGGTGGGCGTTGTCGCGTGAAAGGAGCCACAAAGTCACCCATAACTCCCCGCATATAACGGCATCCAATTCTTGCCTGGAATGTTATGACATCTGATCTGGGCGGTGAGCATGCGTGCCAAATTAGCATATACCTAAGTTACATGATGTATATTTGTGACTTACTTCACCTGTACACTTTACCTGTTTACCAATTCATCGCATATGAATTATTTATAAAGATGGTATGGGCCAGATCATTCAGTATTTGACAGTATAGCCTATATACTGATATAGGCTAGTTTCGGGGAATAACGTGGTTTTTACAATTATGACGATTAATCATGAATATGTACGCTTATTATCGATGGTATTAATTTTTCATTTGAATATATTATCATTTATGTAATGGGGTGACTTTCATTGAAATAAACATAAAGGACTGATTCCAAGTTGTTTTGCTGCCCCATATTAAACATTTTATGAATATGAGCCCGCCCTCTCTCTCTCTATCTCTCTTTCTCCATCTCCATCTCTCCTATTGTCTCACCCTAATGTTTCTCTCTATTTCTCCTCTTGTTTCTCATCTTCTCAGTCTCACCCTGCAGGTCAAGCCCACATTTCTGAGTCTATACATTATACATGGCACTCTTTATCACGTTTTAATGTCTTGTTGTCTTGTGCGTTGTGTCCCCGAACATGCCAAAAACCTCACCTGTCTTAATTATTTATTTTTCTTTACTTACGAATTGAAGAATCAATAGTCACCCATTTTCGTTTTCCAGCAGTTTGCATCTTCATTCTCTCAATAAATTTTCTAGAGATTTGAGTGTATAATTCCTCAGTAAAATTTTAAAAGTCAGTTCTTAGGCTATTGGGCGAATTTACATTGCTGATCTAGATCCAGCATGTTCATTGCCTCGAGAAAATATGTTATCGTTTCTTCAAGTTTACTCAACCTTTTCGGATTTGTAAAGATGACACGGACTTGTTCGTATTATTTCATTTCTTTCTGCATTTTCCTTTTCTCAATCGGCCTTGCCATCGCTTAATACATCCTCCCCATTCGTCCTTTTTGTAATTAAAAATTATATTGAAAATCGGTGATCCGGGCCACCTCTTGTCAAACAAGTATGAGTTTGATAACAAAAATGAGCTTGTTTCATAAACCTGTTTTAAGTGATGTTTACACGCGAATATATCCTGTTCAGCTTAAACGTTATGTACAAAGTTCCGTATGGGTTGTGTTGTATTGTCAAAGCTTACGCAGGCATGCATGCACGCTAAGGGTCCCCAAAAGTGCAAAACGGACATGTCGGATTCTGTGAATTGATATTAATAAATCAGCCACAATTTGTCTTCATTTATTTATTCGTTTTATTTAAACAGGGTAACTTTCTCAGTATGAATACTGTTTTTCTGAGAGGCCCGGTACACAAAAAAGGATTACAAATACATGAAATAACAAACAATGTTAAAAGACGTATACATGATTTTATATATCTCAAGTTCTATGACAAATGATAATTTGCAATACATTACTTTGGTATTCAAAAGCTTCTCTTTTCCATGTTAATTAAATCTTTATTTCTCTTTCTCAAATTAAAAAGAAAAGACAAATACAAATGCATTATTAAGATCTTAAAAAACACGGGAGATGGCTCATTTCAGATGGTTTTACAAGATGTAACTGTTATTCCATGCCCTCAATTTGTTTGCAACCACAAAGCCACTGTAAAACAAAATGGCTTGAAAAATGTTGATACATGTAGGCCTATATGAAATTAAAACGTCATGCCGTATATTGCTGTTGGTTTGCACTTCGTGTTGTCATGGACCATGTGTTTGGATCAATGGTGTTGTAAAGATATTTATAGTCAGTCACTCAACCTTTTTTTGATTGTTCCTAATGACTGTGTTTTGGAGCGGCTTATCATGATTTAGGTAGACATTCAGGCAAATTGATTAAGTTATATTCGCTAAAATGTTTTTAAATCAGTTTAAACCATTATCGTTGTAGTTATATGATCAGTTAATCACCACCAAATGGACTGAGAGAAAATACATACACTCTTACCAGAACTGTACCTAACTGAACATTATTATATGATTGTGATTACAGCTGATAACATTGAATACTAAGTTAAACATTTTTTTTAAAAGAATATAATACATAAGTAGTAAATAAAAGAACACACTAATGAAGTAAATAAACCAGTTTTATATATCAATCAACTTCAAATGAAGAATCGTGAATTTTCATCTCTATGAATGTGTAATATCTTTCGTGTTTATTTAAGGACAGGTATAGTATGCGGTTTTTGATTTATTTACTCTTTTGTCAAAAAAAAAAACGACTCTACAAAAGAACGGCATGTTACACTGACCGTGATAAATGTTTGTATTAAAGTTGCATCCTTTATTATAATGGAAATGCCCTTTAGATAGATACGAAAAATCTGAACCCCATTTCACGGATTGAAAGGAAAGAAAAATTACATCGAAATATGAGGAGAATAGAATAAAAAACCGCTATTGATAATTTATTGTCATCTTTGAATAATAACACAAATCATGAAAGAGAGATCATCCGCCCAGAGATGGGTCACCGCCATTAAACTACTTCGTGCTTGACGCGGTGACGGTCGGGTTCAACCGCCCTTTCATCCACCCCCTTTCATCTATCCCTGCTCTAACACGTTCATATCATGTTTTGGAATGCTATAGATTTGTGGGAAATTGATGTGCCCCGATGTATGTTTCTTGAGAATGTAGATGATAACATTTCACATTTCTACAACTATTAAAGATATTTATCTGCCATACTAAAACAAAATATATTGTCCCAAAACAATCCGTATAGTACTGTCAACGAGGATATATTGTTACACGATTTCGGCAAGTTTAAGTTTAAAAGGCTCGTCAATGTATGTAGTTCAGAATGTGAACGTATTTCCAAAGAGATATCTCTTTGGTATTTCAAAGCTTGAATACATCTCAAAGTTTGAATACATCTCAAAGTTTGAATACATCTCAAAGTATTCCATAAAGACACCAATTCAACCAGTCAACCTTTCATTCTTGAGTTGCAAAAAGAAAAAACACTAAATATCATCAAATTTACAAGGGGTTCGAGTAATTTAGTTATTAACTGAACAACATAAGTACGTGGAAAATTGATTTGTACAGATTTATGCATCTTGGGAATCGATATGTATTTCAAAGTTTACATCTAAAAGTATTCCAGTAATTCAACCAGTCCACAAGACTCCATATATCATTCTTGAGTTACGAAAAACACAAAAACATCATCAAATTTACAAGGGTATGAATGATTTAGTTGTCAGCTGAACATAATATTTTTTTTCTTTTTTCTTCACAATCACTGGTTACTAGCGCGTGTGGAACGTACTTCAAAGCCCAAACACATTATGTGGTTTTGTGTAGTCGGGGGAGTTATGGCATGGTTTTAGAGTGGAAAGTTGTAAGTAATACTGCTTCGGTACTATAGATTTATTTAAATACAATTGCAGTGAATTGCAGTGAATTGCCAAACATCAGTTATATTCGTCACTCAAAAACAATATAGGTTAATGAGGTTGTGATTTATTGTGATTTTCAAAAGAGAATTAAGGATTTTTGTTGTTAGAGCAGTCAATATACATGTAATTATGCCCCTCAAAAAGTTCTGCAATTCAAGTTTTAGCGTTGATATCTCTCTTGCCTGTGTATCATCTTACTTGATGTTGGTATCATTGAAAAGCCTGTTTATTTCCCTTTATGATGATGCCCCATTTGTAATGATTATGTAATAATAGAATGTGCAGTTCACCTAAATATGGGGGCCAAGTCAAAAGTAAAATATTGCAAAAAGCATTGGAATAATTAAATAGTAAATAGTGATCTCTTCATTCGTTAATGGATTCTGTTGTCAAGAAATCTCGAAATGCAACACAAAATTATGGGGTTTATTTCATAATTCATACAAATACTTTAATTGGTGTTGGTGTTAACTACGTTTAACGGAAAATCTTACGTATTTAGAAATCAAATTTTGAAGAAGCTAAACATTCGGAGGACATTAGTATACTGCTTTAAAATCTACACGATCTGTGTTGACTTGCCGCGTGGACCTCTGGAGCGAAAAGCTTACTCACTTTTCGTCATAAATAAATGCTTTCAATTTGTTTTTTTTAGGAGATCTTGTCAATCAAATTATGGAAATGATTTGTATCGAATGATTACAGAGCGTTATTAATATGGGCGTAGTCGTTAAAGGTAAAGATCAGTATTGGAAACGCCCCAATTTCAAAAAATGAAATGGAAGCTCTCATTACCAATCATGTGAAAGAATATGTTTTGACTAATACATGATGATAAAAAATTTGCCGGGAAACCGCCTACTAATTCATATATTTGGTAAATTTGTTTCTCTCATGGTCTGTGAGAGATATAGGGTAGTCCCATATACATCTTTCTGTGTATAGTGCTTGTAACTTTACGAAGAATGGGCCAAATTTCTTATCATTTTGATGATTCCAGAACCTTGCAGATGCTAGATGCTAGATGATCAACCTTTTCTGATCGATTCCACGACGATTCTTTCACCATGCAATTGCATGACCATAACTGGTCTTTACCTTTAAATGAGTGTGTTCAGTTTCAACAAGTGGTTTAGAGAAACTTTTGAGAGCTCCTTGATTCCAGCAGCGAATTGCTGGTGTTTCACAGAGTCACAGGTACATGTAATTTGAAACTCTGTTAGAGGTAGATAATTTATACATGTTGAAAAATCGGCCACAAATCTGGAAATCACTATTTATATTGATAGTGACATCGTTATGGAAGTCCTTTGAAATACACGTTTCTGTTTATGATACAGTATCCATATCGTTTATAAGTTATTCGAACCGCGATATAAATGAT